GTGAATAATATGTCCATATTCTGTTGACCTTAGATCGACATTTTTTGGTCTGTTCATCATTTGTATGGACCATTTCGATTGTTCTCATCTTTTTGGGCTTAAGGAATAATCTGCTGCCATGAACATTTCATGTTGGAAGTTTTTATGTAAACGTACGTTTTCATTTCCCTTGAGTGTTATTATCTCAGGAAGGAAATTAATAGGTCCATAAAAAGGAATGAAGTACTGGTACATGCTCTAACATGAATAGACCATAAAAACATTATGCTAAGTGAAAGAATCATATTGAAAGAAAAAGCACACACAAGGCCACATGCTGTATGACTCCATTTATGTGAAACACCCCAAATAGGCAAATCCATAGAGATAGTGGTTAAGAGACTAGTGGTTGCTGGAGATTGGTGGGAGAGGTGACTGGGAGTGACTGTTTAATGGATACAGAGATTCTGTACGGGGTGATGAAAATGTTCTGGAATTAGATAGCGGTGATGGTTGCACAACCTTGAGAATATACTAAAAAACACTGGATTAAATGCATTTTAAAAAGGTGAATGTTATGGTATGTGAATTGTATTTCAATTAAAAAAGAAGAACCAGAGGACTATGTATCTCTCCAAAGTGCACACTCTCTACTTTTAAAAAATCAGTAAACAAGAAAAACAGCAGTATTACTAGTTGTTCTGTATCTTCTTTTTTATTTCAATGGCAATATTGAGCCAAAATAGTTAGAGAATGTTTATCAATAGTTTCTTCTGGTATTTTCTCAAGGGCCTCATCACAAACACTTAGGAAGGTCAGTTATATACATAACTTTTTTATTTTTTATTTTTGAGACAGGGCCTCCCTCTGTCACCCAGGCTGGAGTGCAGTGGCATGATCACAGCTCACTGTAGCCTCAAACTTCCAGGCTCAGGCTATTCTCCTGAGCAGCTGGGATTACAGGGTGTGCGCTACCATGCCTAGCTAATTTTTGTATTTTTTGTAGAGATGGGATTTCATTGTGTTTCCCAGGCTGGTCTCGAACTCCTGAGCTCAAGCCAACTGCCCGCCTTGGCCTCCCAAAATGCTGGAATTACAGGCATGAGCCACTGCACCTGGCCATATATATATAACATTTAAAAAAGACTTGTGTGCCCATAATCAAATAGAAGATTTAATCTCTAATACCAAAGAAGGTCAATGAGCTTTATGTTTCTTTAAAAATCTTCCCAAATTCCTTTAATTTCATCATTTATTCCACACCATACCTAGGTTCAATAGGCCTCTTGCTGTTTGGTATTCAGGAAGAATAAAAATAACTTGAAGGGAGGGAAAACAGTTGCAGTGCAAGGTCCAGTCCATCAAGGAGCTCCTATAAACAAGCATCTGAATAGGGCCCTACTCTCACTCCTACAATAGGTGCAGCAATGCAGCTAATAAAATATCAAAAGCTCTCTGAAACGCAGGAAAGCAGTGGGACACTTGTTCCCAACGTCTTACACCAAGTGGCTAGCTGAAGAATCCTGTTTCTTTTTTTTTTTCTTTTTTTGTGGCATGAATTTACACAACATGCCACACTACGCATTTGGTTAGCAGTATTCAAATAAAAATATGATTGCTGCCTCAGGTCATTCCAAAAGTGTAGTCATTCAAAAGTATCTAAGGCCTATGCTGAGGACTCAAGCACGAATGTTAAGACTGCTATTCCTTAATCTGACCTAATAGCTTTCCCCCATTCATTCTCATCAAATCTTGATGTAACAATGGAAAGTGGCAGGAAGCATACACCCCGCTTGGCCTCCCAGAGTGCTGGGATTACAGGTGTGAACCACCAGGCCTGACTTTTTTTTTTTTTTTTTGAGGTGGAGTCTTGCTCTGTCACCCAGGCTGGAGTGCAGTGGCGTGATCTTGGCTCACTGCAACCTCTGCCTCCTGGGTTCAAGCAATTCTCCTGCCTCAGCCTCCTTAGTAGCTGGGATAACAGGTGTGCACCACCATGCCTGGCTCATTTTTGTATTTTTAGTAGAGGTGAGTTTTCACCATGTTGGCCAGGTCTTGAACTCTTGGCCTCAAATGATCTGCCCACCTCAGCCTCCCAAAGTGCTAGGCCACCACACCTGGCCTAGAATACAAATTTCTTATTAGCTAGTCCAGTGCTCTTTCCACTATGTGACACTGTCTCTCTGGATCCAGAAATTAAGCAGCTCAAGAACCAGTAACTCAAAAGTGTAATGAGATACCATGTCATAATCACTAGGATGGCTATAATAAAAAAAGACAGGCCTTAACAAGTGTTAGGGAGGATGTAGAGAAAGTGAATTGAACCCTCATAAAGTGCTGCTGGGAATGTAAAATGGTACAGCCACTCTGGAAAAGTAAAGGAGTTCCTCAAAAAGTTAGGGCTACCATATGACCTATTAATTCCATTCCTAGATATACACTCAAGGGAAATGAAAACGTACGTTTACATAAAAACTTCCACATGAATGTTCATGGCAGCATTATTCTTAATAGCCCAAAAGTGAGAACAATCGAAATTGAGTCCATCAATGATGAACAGACCAAATATGTGTTAGGCTCAACAGAATTTGGAATATTATTCACCCATAAAAAAAAGGACATGAGTACTGTACATGCTCATAACATGATAATAGACCATAAAAAAACATTATGCTAAGTGAAAGAAATCATATTGGAAAGAAAAGCACACACAAGGCCACATTGCTGTATGACTCCATTTATGTTGAAAACACCCCAAATAGGCAAGAATCCATAGAGATAGTGGTTAAGAGACTTATGTGGTTGCTGAAGCAATTGGTGGAGAGGTTTGGACTGGGAGGTGACGTTTAATGGATACAGAGCATTCATGTTACGG